CAATTTCCGTATTAATCTTTAAAACTTGTTTCATTAAGTTTTCGTTTACTTTTTCTTGTTTTCTTTTTTTTGTTTTTGTTTTAAACTTTTGTTTGGAAGATAGTTCCTAAAATTTTATGACAATCTGGGAACAAAACAAGTTTATTCTATTTTAGTTTTATGATAATTTTTCAAAAGTTATCTAACAAGAAATCAAATTCGTTTTCAAATCTACTTACTAATCTCATAGTTACGGGTCAAATATTTGGTCTTGCAACATTTGATTGCTTGAAAATTCAATAAGATTTTTTAAAAAGAAACTCTTAAATGAGTGGTTTTGAACTCATTCCACATGTATCAATACTACTAGAGCAACCATGATAATTTTTTGAAACCCAACACTCTACCATAGAAATTTATGGATCAAAACTATTTTGATCGAAAAAAATAATTAAGAGTCTTAATTTTAATTTTAAATTTCTATTTCAAAAGATAGTATTTATTATCTAATGTTTTTCTCTGTTTTTTAATCTAATTTAAAAAATGTTTCCAAAATCATAGTTTTTAATTATTATAATTTTCTTTTGTTTTTTTGGGAGAAAGGAAAAAAGAGGTGAATGTGACTAATGGTGATACAAGACAAAAGCACATGTAGGCTCAATAACCCTAATTCACAAAATATCTTTACAGGTTCATAATTTCAAACTAACATAACCGACCAACTCAATTTCAACATTATTTGAATACGGTCCATCGTGTCATTTTCTTATTTGACTTCATTTTTTTTTAATTTTCTTTCAATTATTTATAGGTCGAGAATAAAATATTCTCCATGTCAATATTTACGTAAACCATAAAGTTCGATATCGAAGTAGTTGATATGTTTCATATATACTATAAAAATATTGATAAAAAATAAAAAAATGAGGATCAAAATATCACTCATATAAATATAAATATGGGTAATAAGAAATGCAAAATTTTATTTTTCAATTAAAATAAATCTTATGAACACTTCGATTTCAGTATTTTAATTTTTATGCTTATCACATCCTATTCTTTTCTCTTTTTTTTTTCTAATGGGAAAACATTTCAATTGGATTATATTTAAAAATAGAGAAATTGGAATTTTTAAATCGGTGAAGCATGGTAGCACACGTAGGCAAAAAAAAAATAAAAATAAAAATAAAAAAAGAAGAAAAATAATTAATTAAAAGAAGACGAAAGAATCTTGTTAGGTGTGGTAATGGACAAAAGAAGCCAGAAAATGTTGGCGTCTGATTTTAACTTTTGACTGCTCGAATTATTTGTGGCTAACATTTCTTTCTACACCCACGTTGTTCAATCTTTTTGTCTTTAATAGAATCTATAGGACACGTATGCAGAAATTTAAATTTCTGGTCTAAGTTGTAGAGATTCATAAAAATCTTGAGTGGGCCCTCTACATTTATCATTGTTGATTTCTTTTTTTTCCTTTTTTGATATCATATCATTGTTGATTTTTACTCCTGAATTATTTGAATTATGATGATGATTCCCAGTGATATTTTATCAATAATTTATAAGTGATTAGTGTCCACCTAAACCTAACTTTTTTTAGTACATCACGTGGAGGTGGAGATTCAAACTCACGATATTTTGAAAGACAATAGGATACTTTAACCAATTGAGTTACACGTAGGTTGGTACCACGTGAACATATGTTAAAACATATATCCTTAATTAAGAAGTTTGAATCATCACACCTCACGTATTATTGACTCATAAAAACTATAATTAATTTCTTTAAAAAAGATTATATCAAAATTTACTTTTATTTTATCCACCGGACCTCATATTAATAAAGATAATTGTCTTCATCTATATATTATAGATCTTTATTTTTTCTAGCTAATATAGGACTTTGTTTGCACCCGAAAATATTATCTTACATGTGGTGTGAGATTTCTCCATCCCGAAAAAAGAAAAGTGGTATAGATTTGATGGTATGACCCAAAAAAGGGCTGATCTACACAAAGAAAGAAAGCCATTCTCAAATTCTTCTGCTTTCAAATCAATAAGAAACTTTAGCATCAGGTATTGGAACAAACCCAAAATATATATAGAAAATTAGTAATAGTCTGGACAATGTGCAAGCGTCCTAATAAGATGGCGAATCAAGGTGGCTCTCTGAGCTATGGCTAGCTTGTTTGGCATCACTGGTTTTTCTTTTTTTATCTTTGATCTCTGCTTCTTTTTTATCTACAAATTGAATGAAGCTGGCTGTACGGCTGAGGCGTCTCGTCCTGACAGTAACAGGTTCGATATCGTCGACTTCGGGCTGTGTTTCAGGGGTAAATCTTCGATATTGGAATAGGACTCTAAAGAAGAATATCAGAAGAGCACTAAAGCAAGCAATGCCACATATTAGGAACAGTCCCCAAAAGCTGCTCAGTGATAGTTGGCTTACGTCGACTTGGTTGACGTTTGTCGAACACTCGGTTCGTGAGAGCCATTTGTCGTGGATCTTTTGGAGATCACCATTCTCTGAGAGTTGAAGAATTGCTGTTGATAAATCAACTGCAAGAGGAGAGTCCCTTTGGAATGCCTGAGACAGTATTATTCATGGAAGAACAATATGATCAGAGTTACATATTCACTGGTTTCTCTTCATTTCCCAACTGAAATGAAACCAAACTGATTCACTGGAGAAAAAGTTGGATTAGTACTTACAAATCCCCATCCACTTTTTGTGAACTCCTGCCCAACCGTCCTGAACTCGCAATTGGTGCTGGATAAGAAAAGCTCGACGTAAGGAAGCTCATCTACGATGGCCGCTACCCCGCCATCTGCCGATCCACGCGTAAGAGCATCAACATATTCCTCCTGATTTCTCAATTTAATGATCCTAGATGCTGCTATATTCAGCTCATCAATCAGATAATTCAATGCAAATGAACCCTCTTGAACTCCAATGGCATCTGTTCTAGAGATTAAGCTATCAATCCCTTCGATATTTGACGATAGCTGCTGTACCGTTAAGATCGACGTCAAACTAGCTGTGTAGCTCGAATTGATAATCAACACAACAAAGAGCCATATAATCAGCACCAACCGTCCAAGGGTGCTAACGGTGTTTTCCTCTGCACCAAGAGCGGCCAACAAATAAAGTTCAGGAGTTCTAAAGTGTATATATGATAGGATCAGTGAAGAAAAAAACATGGGCATTTGGGGAGAAGAAACTTACTGTGTGAAAAAAACATTGTTGAGAAACTAAACCTGCAAGGACGACAAAGTTTCACTCAAATATCATAAAAGAAGTCGATAAGCAGCAAAGCAAGATTCTGCAACACAAGAGGCTTAAAGCTAAATGGCAAGCTAAGAGCTAATCAATCTAGCTCCTTGGCCTTGGTTACTGATAGACTTATTCTGTCTCAAATTAAGAAACTTCAACCTTATCATTTATGGCTAAGACATGAGCCTAGAGCAAATCAAAAGTCTATAGTAAGTTTAAACATACTAACCAGAATATAGTTATTAGTTGTTGCCTTGGTGGACCACGGAACTCTTCGTTCGTCCGGTGCTCAAGAATCCAAACAACTGCTCCCACAAAAATGAAGCATATTCCAGTGACAGCCCACATTTGAACCGTAAACGGCCTGAGAAAAGCCCATGGATTGGACTTCTGCTCTTTGACAACAGTAACAACGACGAGTCCCGACTCCATAAATGGTTGTGTGAAGTCCACAATCTTCGTCCTGTTCGTTACAATCGTAATATCACCAACAGCTGCATCGTATTTCTGAATAGAGGAGAATATCAAGATATACATTGCTCAGAGACAACCCATACGGACCACCAAAGAATAAAGAGAGCTAGAATCAAAGCCAGTACTCACATTCTGTGAAACATCATATACAAGATTGCTGTACTCAGGAGTGTCCTTTCCATCTCCATATAATATATATGTGTGAGGAACTGGATAAGGCAATAAGTTTACGGCAGCTTCAAAGACATCTATACAATATCCTTTAACTCCTGGAGGGTTCTTGTCTTTAGACACAAAGGCTTTGTAACTCACACGGTAAGGAACTACGATTTGCAACGGTTTTCCGTTGTGTGGGAACACCCATCCCCGAGGAGTGGTTGTTGCTTCACCGGGCCATATTACACTGTAGAGATTACTTGGGGAAGCACTGGGAGGCTTTGTATACAAGTCCTCTGGTGCAACAGTTGATAGACCAGAATAATTTGACCAGTAACCAATTCTACGGGAACCGGTTCCACCAATGTTCAGGATATCATAGGCTGGATGAATCAGATTTTTACCATCAGCAAATTGAATCCTCCCACTTACACCTGTGAAGTTTGTTCTGGTAATTGTCTGCAGAAGTTGTTCGCCGCCATTAAAGACTCGAAGTGATGTTAAGTGCAGCATGCTTCCATTGTTGTCGCGTAACTTTGAGTCACTGGAGAAAGATATATTACCGCCTTCTTTAATATACGTATCGAGAGCACGGGCTGCTAACCAAACAGAGTCGTATGCATAGAGTGCATATGAGTTGAAGTTTGGACTCTTCTTGTGTTTTAGATTCTTCCACTTGGAAATGAAGTTTCTCTTCAGTTCGCTGTCTGGTGTGTGGTGACGAAGAGCAACAACTCCTTGTAACTGATTCATTATTTCAGGACTATTTGTTTCAAAAGAATCAAGAAAAGAAGGAAGCCAATCTGTTGCAATCCAAACATAGCCACTGCGCATCATCTGAAGTTTCTTAGCAATCGAAAATATCGATAAACCAGTGTCAGGATTAACATGTACAATATACACCCGAGATTCCATGAGGTTTACTCCAATCAACAAATCACTAATTGTGCTTTGGGTGGATCCAGGAGAGAAGCCAGCCTTATAAGAGATCCTGGCTCGCTTCTTTGCCAAGGCATCGCCCAATGCTGATATCCCGCTTCTGCCATTATCATCATCTACATAGATGGCAATGACCTCTCTCCATTTAAAATGATCTACCAGATCAGCAATTGCATTCATCTGGAAGTAATCACTCTGTGTAGTCCGAACAAAATATGGGTATTGTAGTGCAGACAAAGTGGGATCTGTAGCTCCAAATGATAGAAGCGGTACATGGAGTTCGTTAATAACGTGGGAGATGACGTGAGCGATTCCCGACGATTGTGGCCCGATAGCAGCAATTACTTCATCTTCCATCAGCTGCAAGGCTATATATATATGTTTAAGGAATCAGTTATATTACCCTTTGATGTTACTCTCTCTTGAGAAAAAGATTAATGAGAGATGAATGGAGGAAGCACCATCTATACATAGGATTGTTCAATGACTCCAAAAACTTAAACTATTAGATTAGGCAAGTTTTATCTTTAACTTCATTCATTAACAATAATGAATAGAACATTGGATATGATAAGCAATGCAATCAAATGAAGTCGATTCCAGACGCGTAGGATAAGGATCAAAGTGGTAATCAGAAAAGCACCTCCGCTCAAGCTATACATTTTTGAAGCTTTAAAATAGTTCCTGAATCTTAACAAAGTTATTGTAGCAAAAGGAAACTCAATTGGGAGTTCAAAATTATTTTCTACCCTTAATGCCTGAACTACCAAACAATTTACCAAAAATAGAGAATGCAATAACAGCTAGAAGAAGAACACTATTTGACAGATGAACCATCCCCAAGTTCCAAGACAAAAATTTATTGCAGTTCATGATTCTCATGCTACAGCCAATTGAATCCAACGGTCCTAATTTCCTTAAGAATCTCAAATGTTGTAAAGAAGACATATAGAGTTCTCTTTTGAGACAGTACCTTCCACAGTTCCAAGAAATCCGCTGCAGTTTGTGTCGTGTAAGATAAGGTTCAGTTTCGTTCCAGAAAGAATGGTGTTATCAGCATTGATATCATCCACTGCAGCTAAAATTGCAGGCTGCGCAGACCTTCCAATAACCGAATCCAGAGTGAACAGAACTCCAATATTCACTACACTTGGATTCGAAGACGAACCCGTACTGTTTCGAGAGATACCCATCACTCCTAAAGGCATCAAAATCCCAAAGAACAATGCAAGTAGCAGAACACTGGTCTTGACCCAACGGCCACGCCTCCAAATCAGGAACACCTCCATTGCTCGAGCAAAAGACTATCCAATTGATTCCCCCCACCTAAAAACCTCTCAACAACGGCATCCTAATTACACAACTTTAAAGGGGAGGAGGAAAATGGTTAAAGTTTTTCAGCAAAAAATTCTTGTTCATCACAGCATAAATCAATAATTCCTGAAAACCCCCATTTCCTAAAAGTAGATTAAACAGCAACTTCATAGCACTGTTCAATAGAAGAATAATTGAAACGAAATTGAAGTCTTCCAGCCTAGCCAAACAAAGTAAAAAGCAGCCTAAGAAAAAGAACCAGCAAATAGCTAGTAATATTCAGTAGCACCAAACATTTCTCTCTCTGCATTACCGATAAAACCCCATTCCCAAAGTACTGTTAAACCCCATAATCAATCCCAGAAATCTACAAAAACACCGCATTAAAATATATCAACAACAACAAGTTGATAGAAATCACGTGCAGAAGATTGAATATAAACAAATTGAATGGAAAAACATATATTTATACATATTATTCCCCAAAAATCACCTCACCTGAAGGCCCAGCTTCAGAAATTGCAGGCTGAAACTTAGAAGAACTGGTCTGGAGTTGGTTCATAAGAGAGCTCAAAAATGGGGAAAATACAAGTTCAAAACTTTGTTCTTATACTCTTCAGTGTTGGGAAGAAACAGAATTCCCAAGCCCTCATAACAGTATTTCCATCTCAAGAAAAGAATTATTCTCACACTTTTTGTTTCAGTTGCCAGTCTCTAGAGTAGTTAACTTGCCTCCATTTCCTATCAATCCTTATTCATTAATAATAATAAATAAATAATTTTGAATATGAAAAAAATAATAATAAAAAAATTGGGTCAATGCCAATGGCAGCCATCTTCCCATTCCCATAAATAAGTATAAATGCTTAGTGGGCCGCATTTCCCTACATGTGGGGTAATTCTGTATTAACTTTTTTTTTTTTTGCTTTTTTAATTGTTCGTATTGGTTACTTGACTCATATTTTAAATCAAATAATATTCCAGTTTAAAATTTATAGTAATAATTATTTTAGATTTTTTTTTGTTTGTGCTTCTTGGGTTTGAATGTCAACGCTTTTATCCTGATTTAAATTTATAGTAATAATATTCCAGTTTAATGATTGTTGCCTAAATTTATAAATGATTAAAATAATTTTAAGGATAAAGTTTATTGTTTTCGAATGTAATTTATGTACATCCCTACCTTACTTTACATATGCAAATAAAATAATCAATATAAAATTTTGTTTTCATGATAAATCGTGGAGACGTGCAAAATAAAATATTTTACTATTGATTCTGATGGGGTTAATTGAAAACAGCCAAAGATAGTAATAAAATGAACGATTATTATGAATTCTGAGTGGAAATTAGTTTAGAGAGAGAAAAGGAAAAAGAAATACTAAAATATTAAATCAAATCAATATAGTCCAAGCATTTATTATCCAATTTATTGAACTGCCATCGTCATAAATGTATCAAAATTCATATTTGTAGAGAAATTTGGCGTATTTATATTCTAGAATGCCTAAATAGAAACAAAATAGGGATATTTTGGTTGTGTTATGTTCTAATAGTTAGAATGGAAATTCAGTGTATGTGTAAATGATTGCTTTTAAAATTTTATCTATCTTGTTACCAAAGCCTCTATTTAATGATGATTAAAAAAAAAGATGATAATAATGACGCACTTATTATTTCTGATTTCTGTTTTAAATGATGAGATTAGATTATAAATAAGGATTTTAGATATATAATAGCTTTAACATCTAGAAATTATGTAAAGGGTATTTCAAAAGTAATTTGGAAATAAAGTAACTAAATTAATTATATAAATAATTAAATATTTTTTTTTGTACAACGGAAAAGGGATTCGAACTCACAACCTCTTCATTGGAGATATATGTCAATTATTGCTGAGTTATACTCGCTTTGATTGGTAAACTATATATTTCGTAATAATAAACATTTTAATCTATTTATTTGATGTTATCTTGCTATAGATTATATCATATAATCAATTACTATTAGCTAACAAATAATTGATGTGGTAGAGTTAACAAGTTATGACATATTTTAAAGTAGTTCCTACACTAATTTTATTCCCTAGTTTTTCAATTGTCCCAATCGTGGTACTTGCCAATTAGTTTTCATATATATCAATCTCTTTGTTGATATCAACATCATTTATATTGCATCATGTTAATAACTATATAGTTTCATGTCAATTTATCAAACGTTCTAGCATTATCCTGTTGTTAACTAACTCTAATAATTAACAACATAAATAGTCTCGAGTATTTAAGATGTTACAAAATCTTTAAAATAAAAAAGTAGAAATCAACACGAACTTAGCTTAATTGATTAAGACACTTATCTCTAGTTAACAGTGGTGGGTTTGCATTGAAGGCACATTTTCACATAATATTATATTAAAAAAAAAAAACAAACCGAAAGCATAGAGGTAGGAAATCCTTTGAATAAATAAATGTAAACCGGAACGATGTCGTTTGGATGAGATTAAGGAATCTGAAATAATGGGAAATCAATTAATTTAGTGAGGGAGATATGACATGAGATGTCGGTATCAATTTATCAAATATATAAAGTTTTTTAAAATTTTGTGTCATCGTATTGGTGGAATAAGATGTGTGCAGGACGTGGGCCCCACCGCCACCATTTTTTTCCCATTTATTTAATAAAATCCACACGACTTTTTGTTTTTGTTTGCGAAGACAGGACGCGTACGACCCAACCACACGAAGACGAGGTCAAGTCGAGTGATGAATCCAAGGAAAAATCTAAGGACTCCAAAATTATATTATATTACCAATTTGATTTTAATTTTTAAAATAATGTTTAATACCTCTGGAAATTTATAATGTTTTCCACTTCTAGTATTTTTTTCTCCAGATCCAAGCTTTCCACTTCTAAAAAAGAATTACTGTTATTTTAAATGAGTTGAGTTAGACTCGAATTATTTTATTTGAGCATTTTAAATAACTTTAATAGATTAGTAAAGCACAGTGTTAAAATGTTAAATATAACTTATCAATTTAAACCTTTACTTAAACCTTTTGAATTAAACAGTAGTTAACCTCTAACCATCGCATCCTCATGCTACTATTCAATTTTATGAATAATCACATGTAATCAATATTTGAATGGTCCTTTAAAAATAATATTGAGAGTTTAAATTATGTTCAAACTATGGTGACCATCCACCTAGAATTTAATATCTTATAAGTTTCCTTAACAAATAGTAGAATTTAATATTCATTGAAATTAGTCGAGGTGTGCGCTAAGTAACCCAAATACTCACGAACATCAAAGAAATATATATATTAAGAGTTTAAATGGGGTTGTTTTAGTTTAAGTTAAATTATAAGTTTGGTCCACTAATTTTTAAGGTGGTGTCTAATAAATCCCTAAATTTAACTTTATGTCTAATATATCCCAACTTTAGAAAATATTTACTTGATCAGAGATCTATTAGACACAAACTTGAAAATTCATGGGGACCTATCAAACACTTTCTAAAATTTAGAAATTTATTAGACATTTTTCGCAATTCAAATACTTTATGACAATATAGAAACGGAAAATTTTCTTTATTATTATTATTTAGTATGCATTCCACAAATTTCCCACTATAGTGTAAGAAATAATAAATACACGAAAAACACTATTTTATTTTGGTATCAATCATAAAAGACAACCTACAAATTGATCCAGTAAAACAAGACTTCTTTTATTAAGTTTGTTTATTACGAGACAAATCATCCTCTCTTATAGTCGATAGACTTGAGTTTTATAATCGAATAATATAATATTGTTTACCCAAAAAGGGGCCGAAACCTAGCCTAGTAGGTAGCAAAACATGTACCATGTTATTTCTCTCAAGAATCATGACATTATTTGCAAATAAGTGGTTAGGATGCATACCATTTGTACCATAAAGCATGGTGGTATGTGATCATATAGATGTATTATTATAAATAAACAAACTGACATGTAACATGCTCCTATTTATACGCTTTATCGCATTGATTTGATTAGCTTGCATCATTTCATCTACAATTTGTTGTTATTTTTCTTATTTTAATATGATTTTACGTTTGACCCTTTCTATATGGGCTATTTAAAGTCTAAACATATAATTTTATATATGTTTTGGTTGTGGTAAAAAAAATCTTACAGATATCTAAAGTTATGGCTTTGTCTCATCGGCGATAATTACACTCCCTTGTGCCAAACTTGAGAGAGGTACTCTAATTCTAATCTATCTTTACTCAAATCTCATTTACTTGTGGTAGTAATCAAAGTATCCAAAATAGTTAAAATAGGTCCATTAAAAGCATGCATTGTCAGGTAAATTAAAAAAAAAAAAAAAAGTTGAAATCTTCCTTTGCAAGAATGCTTCATGATCTCCTTTTTCACCGAACCCATATTGGTTTTGATGCAAAATGAAGAGAAAAGGAAAACCTTCAAAGTGGAAAAATAGCCCTTCAATGAGAATTCATAGCCTTTCACACACAAAGTAAAATGATTAATTAATCATTTAATAGTAGGCTTTGTATAAGTAGGAGTGTGATTTTTAAGTTTTTTTTTTTAATAGAAAAGAGTGATTTTTCAGATTAATAGAGACATTGTGGGAGTGTGGGGTAGAAAAAGATTAAATTGAGGTGAAATTTTAGAGCATGTGATCAGAATATTATGTTTGATTATTATAATATATGTAGGAGTTCAATAATTGGAATCCTTTTGTTTTTTCATGTGTTGGTTATTGTAATTTAAATGTGGGGCCAAAGAATGAATCTTACTATATGCTTTTTCTTTAATTTTTATCAGATTCCATTTTAGCCCTTTTCCTTTTTCTGTAAATAGCAAATTTGTTTTTTATCCATTTTAATCTTTATGATAACTTTTTTTTTATTTGCCTGTTTTGTCACTCTTGTAATCTTTAAGAGAGAAGAGATAGAGTCTGCAGTGAGAAAAGAGAAAGAAAATGAATATGGAAAAGATGATAGAAGAATAAAAATCAGTAGAAAAAAAGATCCCAATATTATGGGCATTAAATAATTGAAAAAGGATATTTCCAATGTATATGTAGTCACACAAAAGTCTCATTTTGCCCCTTCAGAATATGACCTTTTATCCGGTGAATTTTAAAATGAATGTGGTCTTTTTTTTTCCGAAATAAAATTATACTTGCATCCTCGCGGTTTATTTGATATATTTTTTACCTTTAAAATCTTAGTCCAAATCTCAAAAAATAAAAACTATTTTTTAAAAACTAATTTTTCAAGTTTTCAAAATTTTACTAAGAATTTGAAAATGTTTTTAAAGATTAGACAACAAAATATAAAAAGATACACATCGTGAAACTAATGTTTATTGTTTATAAAGAAAAGAAAACCAAAACAAAAATAGTTTCCTAGTTTGTTGGTTAATCCAATTTAAATAAAACTTTCAATTGGTTCATTTTTTTTTTCAATTTCACTGTTGTTCCACTATTTCTTTGGGTTTCCTACTTTAATAAGGTCGTTTTTGCAACGGTTCGTAGTTGGGAATGTAATGCAAAATATATGGTACTCTTAATTTCGTGCACAAGTAAGAAATATTTATGATGTATAAATGAAGTACAATATATATTTTCATCAATATAAAATATATTTGAGATGAAATTGACATAATTTAAAATCTTCCAAAGTAAATAATATCATATCGTTGTAATATTAATAACGGATTGTTCGGAGCCCAACACATCATCCTTCCAAGAAAGAAAGAAACTAGGAAGCTTGAAGAGTTGGACAAACAAGAAAGACAAAAGCCACTCCATTTCACAGTTGCTTGATTGTCATCATCACTCGAGACAAAAATTTAAAAAGATTAAAAAAGAAAAAAAAAACATCTCATTAATGCGATAATATTTCTCCTCCTAAATTAATTAATTAATTAATTAATTTTTCCAAATTTTGGAGAGATGTTCAAAGCAGGGATTTTCAGGTGGAATAGATTTGTTTGTCGAGTCCCATACTTTAGTTTGTTTCACTCCCACGTCTCCTTTAATTTGTCACAATATTTTTCACACAACTTTCTTATTTCGCTTTCACTCTATGTACTATTATTTGTAACACAGTTTTATGTTTAATTTACACATCAAATGTATTATATTGTACCTAAGACTAAGAGTTCAACCAAAATGTTGAGGCAATCTTCAAATTAAGACGACTCCCAACTCAACCATGTGATCTCTTTGGTCAATATGTTATGTCGTTTCTTTTGAAAACGACATAACCAATTGCATTTGAAATGACAACCCAATTCAAATATTATTGCTTATTTTTTTAGTTTAGGACAAAAAATTGTATCTAAGTTAGATTTTCTAATTTTTTTTTTTTTTAAGACTTCTACACATGTGGAAATTATTGTTCATAAACCCAAGATTTCGGAAGGAAATAATAATTTTCTTTTGCTATATGTCGATGAAAGAATATAAAATGGCAAAAAGGCTTGAGAGGGAGGCTTTTTTTTTTCTCTTTTTGTGTGTCTTCTGATGGATTGTATGTTGAGTGGTGAGGAAGAAAGAATATTTGGGTGCAAAAAATTTTGATGGATGGTAGTTTTTTTTTCTTTTTTACTTGAATGTGAAGTTACAAATTTGAATCTTCGACTTTTTGTGTCTTTACTAGCTAGTTAAGCTATGTTTAAGTTAACCCCTCCAAGGTTACTCTGGATTATTTATTTCGTTGCTTCTAAATTCAATTATTACATAAACAATAAAAGTAAATTATTGCAATCCAAGGCCTATGTATAGTATGGTGTTTCTTCTGGACTACAATATATATGGAATTTTCCATGCAAAATTATCTTATAAATGCATGCTATTGAGGTTCTCAAATAACTAATTATAAATAATTATCATGCAAAAAGATATAATTAATTACATGCGGAGGTATTTATGAAGTTAAAAAAATTAAAATAATAATAATAAATTTTAATGTTAAGCTTTGTTGACTGCTATTTGCTTTATAACCTATATATTTTTAAAATATATTTTTCAAAAATAGTTGGGTCTTTTTTAAAAAAAAGAAAAAGAAAAAACCAACCGATAGTTTTTATATCTGCAAGTAGCCCTAGTATTATTTATAAAAATAATATGTTTAGAATCAAAATCAAAATTCCTTCAAAAAAAAAAGAACAGCGATAATAAATTAAAATGAATAAACAATTTAAATCCGATTTCTAAAATCGTTATAACATTAGTTTCCATGTGATAAAAATGTATTATAGAATTGCTAATTAATAATGTAATACTGTTAATCCTTCATTAATATTCAATTAAACGCATACTATTTCAACATTCACGGGAGGGAAAACATTCTCGAAATATATTAACTGCAATTAATAATGTCCTAAAAAGATTTGCAATTAATAAAACAGGTAAGAAAATGCCTAGCTGAAGACTTTATTGGGTTAATTAAATTCAAGCACTTTGCTGTCGGAAATCTAGCGCTTCCATTTTTAATCAGAATTAATTGGATGATTAATGTGATTGATTTTAAAAGATAATATATAGTTTACTTCTATTTTTTTAAAAGCAACACTTCAATTTTAAATGTATATAAAATACATTTTTATTCATGTAGTGTATTGAATAATATTACAAAACATATTGTTACAAATCTATTTGAACATAGTTCAACTAACTAAAACATATGTTACTGATAAAAAAGGTACATTCGAATTTACACCTCTATAGATTACCATACTTATTAAAAAAAATTACTGTTAGAATTTAATTTATTTATTTTTAATGCATGGCTCTAACCTGAATAAGTTTAAAAAATCTTGGAAAAGTTTGGGTGATAAGGAAATTTGAATTATAAATGAGAACTTTTAATTTAAAAGTAGTTTGTTAATTGCTAAAATTAGTAGATGTAGACACTTGAAAAGTTGAAATTATTGGTATTCAATTAAGTCTTTGCAAATAATAATAAATAAAAACAAAAACAAAAACGATAAGATTTTGTTCATTATCCAAAATAATTTAGATTTTTTTTTAGTACAACCAAAATAATTTAGATTAGTTTGTGGATTTGAGTTTTCAGTAATTAAGAACTCCTTAGGGCAGTATTAAGTTTCTTTTTTTTTTCCTCCTTTTCCCTTCCACCATCTCGAACATGGCTTGAAGGCATTTACGTCTCATTATAAGTTCGGTGCAAATTTCCACTCTTTATTTGCGAGGTAACATTAAAAAGAATTATGTAATAAAAAATAAGAGAACTTTCCCTCCATACTATAAATTTAATTTGTATTATAAAAATGTCAAAACTTTTTATTTTAAAATAATATAGCATAAATTTGATTTTTTTATAATGTATTTGAGATTGAGTTTGGTTTTGATTTTGATTTTGATTTTGATTTTAGGGTGATATTTTAATTCAAAATATATATTTATTTTCTGTTATTTATATAAATGCCTGTAGAAAATATCAAATTAAATCATAATCATCCTTAAAATTATGGTAGTTATAACCAATTTATACAACAAATATATTTTGAAAGTCATAGCAACAATGAAAGAAGGTTATCATATTTGAATGGTACAATAAATATCTCAAAAGGTATGAAATTTATGTTGAAAACACAGTTAGTTTTTAAATGTATTCAACTCACCTTGGTCTCTAGATTTTTAAATAAACGAAACATGTCTATATACTAAGTTTAAATTAAATAATTTGCCACAAAGTAATAACAAAAAACTAAAATAACCCGAAGATTAATGATTAAAATAGACTGGGAAAATTAACGGATCCCCTTCATCAAAGAATAAAATTATCACTTCATACAGAATGAATCACTAGCAGCAATCATATATCATTCTTGTTTCATAATACAGAATTTGACCATCCAATTTCCAAACATGGGAGTAATTAGGGATCACAATATTGCAGTCTTATTTACATTAACTATGAAACTTTGGCTACTTAGTAATTAGCAGCGATGGAAGAACATAACATTTTTATAACTTGAGAGATCCAAATTGCAAGTACAGCTGCAGGACACTTCCCTTCAGGCCTTCTCAATACACAAACACAACAAAAAGCTATCAGTTAGCCGGATTCTGAGAATCATGCTTTCGGAAAAGTCTCTTGATGGCTTCTTCCTTCTCATCAACAAAGTCGATGAACTTATATATAACCTGAGTCCAGCTCGAGTTCGACGATACCAACTGGGGATGAGAAGACTCCTTCTGTTGTCGAATGTAGCGAGCAAATTGTCGAACTATGCGGAGAAGAAATATAAGAAGAGCAATGAGAGAAAAGGCACCACACAACAGATATAGACCCCAGAAGCTGATCAAGTGAAGTTGGTTGGGCTCAGATTTCCTTCTCCTCTCTCCAGGACAACCCATCTTGCAAAACCACTTCTCATGGATCTTCTGAAGCTTTCCATTCTCTGAAAGCTTTAAAATGGCAGTAGAAATGTCTACCGCAAGTGGAGATCCTCTCTGAAAAGCCTGCTTGAAGGCATTGCATTAATGGATTGCAACAAATGAAGAAGGCAATATAGAAGGCCATTAAAGTTTAATTACCAATAGAACTATGAGCTCATTACTAATAAGATAACCACGTAAAAAAACTACCAGAACCATTGATAAATGATGAATGCACATAATATCCTCACTGCAATAAAGCTATAATATTTATGGTTTACCCCCCAAGTTGCCATTCAAACAGAGTCCAATTTTTTATGCACAGTTATCAATTCCCTCCCGCCCTAGTAAGAGAAGGCTACTCACAAATCCCCATCCACTCTTGGTAAATGGCTGCCCGATCATTCCGAAATCAGTCCTCCCTGACAAGAATAACTCCATATATGGAAGTTCATCTACAACAGCTGCCACCCCTCCTTTTTTGAATGGCCCCTTCAGCAGTGCCAATTCATACTCTTCTGGAGAGCCTAGAGAAACAAGCCTCGACTGTGGTATGTAAAGACTCTCGGTAAGATAGCTATAAGCAAACGATCCTACCTGGTAGCCAATTGGCTGTTCACTAGTAATCAAGTCATCAAGTCCTTTTATGGGAGATGAAAGTTGCTGAACTGTAAGGATTGAAGTGAGACTAGCTGTGTAGCTTGATGTGATAACCATCAATAAGAAAAGCCACACCACCATTACCATACGTCCAAGTGGACTTACAGTCTCTTCCTCTGCAATTTGAGTTACGAAGTCAGAAATCTTGTCAAATGTTTAGTACATCAATTCGAATGAGTATTTGAGCCAATAGTGAATACAACATACAAGGAAAAGTCCAACTATACTCTATTCATCTATTTACATGAGCGGTTTATGCAGTCAGTTAGAATCATGGACTGTGATATGGAAATGTATGAAAATGATTTGAACAGTCATACAAATGACCGGGATTTAAAGACTTAATGTTGGAACTGCAGAAATGACATTCTTTGACAATGAGATTCACGGCATAAATTACCTCAAGTGAACAGTAGCTAGTATGTATTTGGAAAGAGATTAGGTAGTATAGATAGCTATTAGAGAATGAACCTTCCTTAAAACAGCTTAATGCAATACCCACCAATAAATGGTCACATTCAACCTATAATACAGCTTGAGTGAATAATACAACATAGATTTTAGTAACAGTATCTTGAAGAAATGAGTTCTGATAAACCAAGTCAGTGTCCTTCTGCGCAAGTATTTTTTAGGTAAATTGAAGCAGAAATATAAATATAAGATTTTCAGGGAAATCTTAAGGCTCGTTGTTGTTTCCAATTTATATATTTGATCTTATTTATAACATAACATAAGTGAAAATAAAGTGGATCAGAAGATAAACTGTTGATTTATCTTAGTCAAAAGTTTGAATTCAAGAGTCAAACTTGCCCAATATGGCATCGAGCCCGCCCGAACATGCTGGTTCTTCTCATTTTAGACAGTGCTTATAGAAATAACAAAAATAAATTAATAAAAGAATCAAAAGTAAGTAAAAATACAAATATCTTACGATTTGTTTTAAACAATGTTGAGAAGCTGAACCTGCAAGATGGAAATATTTTCATATATTAATTTACTTCAAAAGGAAATGTGTGTCAAAGAAAAGCCGTGTGATAAAAAAAATTTCACTTATTGATCTATAAGTAACTGCCTTGAACACTGAGAGAACTTACAGTATTACTGTCACAAGCTGTCTCTTTGGTGGACCACGGAAATCATCATTTACTCGATGCTCAAGAAGCCATATGACTGCCCCAATCATGAAAAAGGACGCCGAGGTAACACACCACATCTCTACTGTAAATGGTTTAAGGAACACCCAAGCATTCGACTTTGAATTTTTTATTGGAGCCACAATAACAAGACCAGTAGAAGCAAAAGGCTGAGAAAAATCCACAATCCTTGTGCGATTGGTTATGATTGCAATATCTCCAACAGCTGCATCAAATATCTGACACAAAAAACTGAGAAAGTAACAGCTCCGCAATAGAATTTTGTCAAGAAAGAATAAATCTAATCTACACGCTAATACATCTCAAGTCCATAAGTAGGTTACCACTGCATATAGAAATAACAATATACTTTTGTTCTTCCAACAATATTTTATTTTCAGCCTACTTGTAAACCTTGTTCACTACCTCTTTTGGATCGTGATCAAATTATACTGAAACTTTTGAGAAATGAATTCATTATTTTGACTAGAGGATCTTAGACACCGAGTTATAGTAATAATAAATTTCAAATGCTAATACACCCTACAGCACATAAGTAGGCCATAATCAAATAAAACCACAGAAGACATCTATTCTACCCCTTAGAAACCAAATGAAATCATTGTTTTACACCATCCGTGAAACCTTCTTCTAGAGCTATTCATATAGTTGACTAGATTATGTTGACGCTTTCTAGAAAGCACAAATCCTAAATTGGATTCATTCTCTTTAGGCACTCAAACATCAAGGGAAGTAAATGATATAATGTTTTACTTACACCATTCGCCACATTCTTCACAAGATCATTATAACTGGGATTCTTGTAGCCATTTCCAAAAGGTATAAACCTGTAAGGAACGTCATACGGGACCAGCTTTCTTGCTTCGTTGAATAGATCAACACAATATCCTTGGATGTTTTCGTGGCTTCCATTGACCGCTGTAATAAATTCAACAAAACTTACTCTAAGTGGCACTCCAATTCTTAATGGTCTTTCATTGTCTGCAATTACCCATCCACGCGGTCTCTTTGTCTTTCCACCAGGCCAGGTAATATTGCCAAGAGTCTGGTTCAGGTGGGTAGAACTAATTTGTTTCTGTTTCAGAGTTTCCGGTGATTGGATTGTAAAGCCTGCGATATTAGACCAATAACCAACTCTACGCAATCCCATCTGATCTATATTTATCACCTCATAGGCTCTACTGACAACGTTCCGATCTGAATTAAACTCAATCTGACCACTTAAACCGGTAAAGTTTGTCTGCAACAATATGCTCAAAAGAAGAGCACCATCGTCAAATATTTTGAGCTTCCCCCAGGGCATTTTAGATGTATTTAAATCATGAAACTTGTTCTTCAAAGAGAACGTAATGCTCCTACCTTCATTTAGAAACTTATCAATGGAACGTGCAACTAATTGAATGGTATCATAGGCACTAAGAGCATAGACGTTCAATGAAGAATTACTGGAGACTTCTGGCAGCATCTTCCTTAACCGAGACCATAATCTTGTCTTTTGGCTGGATTCTGGAGTATGTTGACGAAGTACAACCACTCCTTGAAGGATGTTTAGAGAGGTTTGGTGCGTGGGCAGAATTGAATCTAAGGTCGTAGAAAGCCAGTCTGTTGCAAGCCACACATAATCACTTGTCATCATATTAAGTTGATGAGCTATTTTGAAGATACTTAATTTTGGATCAGGATTGACATGAACAACATAGATACGGGGACCAAGTAACTTGGATTTATTGAGTATGTCTGTAATTTCACTGAGATTAAACTGAGAAGGTAAGGGTATTTTGTAAGAAATTTTAAACATCTTCTTGTCAAGTTCATCAGCTAAAGTGGACATTCCATTTCTACCATAATCATCATCCACAAAGATCATTATCACCTCTTTCCACTCATAAAAGTCGATCAATTCTGCCATAGCAGTCATCTGATACGAGTCACTCTGAGTAGTCCGTAAGAAAAAGGGGAATTGGAGAGCAGATAAAGTTGGGTCAGTAGCAGCATATGATATAAGAGGCACTTGGAGATTATTAGCAATCTGTAAAACCATATGAGCTACAACTGAAGATTGAGGCCCAACGATGGCTACTACATCTTTCTCAAGTACCTGGAAAGCTGCCGCACAAGGGGGCATAAGTCAGAAAGTGCCGCTTAAAACAAGTTAACATCAAGACAATTCTATAAAATGAGAAGTCCAGTATAAAATTTCAGTGCCATGTATTTAAAATGGGAATTGATATAGATAGAAAAGATGATTAAGAAAAAGCAGAAAGCATCAGGAATGATATGACACACGGTAATATTATAATTATGCAATTTCATACTAATTAAGTAATAACAATCATGGTCATAGCAACATAGCAATTGGATTGGATGATTGACAATTCTCAAAATGTCACCAAAATTTCAAATTTATTATGAATGCAATACGTATACAGTGATGTACCTCCAATAGAACCCAAGAGAACATTACAATGTGTATCTGCCATGATCAAATTCAGTTTCGTTCCATTGAGAATGGTTGGGTCTGCATTAACATCCAAAGCTGCAGCTTCCATTGCCACCTTCGCTGCTCTTCCTATAACAGAATCAAAAGTAAAAACTGCACCAATGTTCACAACCGCTGGCCTTTGGCAACATGCAGAACCAGCAAGAAATGCCCATATCGAACTAATCAATGTAAGAATCAATAAGTTCCCCATGAGTGAACAACCTTAATCCACCAATCCAGTCTCGACCATGAAGACTCAAAGCTGAATAATGCAAGCTTTCACAGAGCTGGAGAGTGCTGAACAGACAAGGTGAAGGAGCTTTAGATGATAACCAAGGAAACTTTAAATGAAGAGGAAGAGCTCAAGAACGTAGCCCAGAGAAGAACAAGAATTCCACCTAAAAACTTCATTACAGAATTCCCTACTACCAATTCTTGTATAGAGTAGTTCGTAGTGAATAAACCCAAGTTAACCATGGCTACTTCCGCGACACAAAATCGTAAATAGTAAACCATGAACAGACAAAAGATGTAGGTCAGAGATTAGTACAAAGAAAGGCAAGAACAACAAATCATGGGGGATTGACACGTCTTATCCAAGGGAATTGAGTCCCATTGATGGTAAAAGAAAAAGAGAGGAGAAGTTCCACTTCCATTTGCTGATCAAAGAAATTTAAAATTTACTAGGAGATGATTTTTAGCCAAAATGGGACCCTGTTTCCAATTAATGCACGTCTCCGATTTGACGCCCGGAAGCTGTTCAACAACGTGGTGCTGGTTGCGCCGATGATCCCGTCAATCATTGTTGACGGATGGTTACAACTCCGAGCAATCCTCCGACAACGTCCACCAAATCAGTACTGTTACAGAACAGATTAAACAACTGAAAGTTCAAAGGAAACAGCCATAAAATTTCTCTCCCCTTTCTCATTTGGTTATCAATCACTGAAACTGAACCGCAGAGTCTCTTTCCTCGAGAGCCATCGAACCACGCTCCAACCGCTGAATCAAACTGAAACGAGAATATCATAGAGTTACAAATTCGACACTAATCTAATTCTGAAACAAAACTTTACAGTGATTCTAAGGAAATTTGAATCACGAACACTTCCAGAATCGCGCAGCGACAGCAGCGCCTTCATGGGCGGGAAGACCATTTGCAGCGTTTCCAACTGAGGAAGCATGAATTTGACTACTTGACGAATCAAATTTCGGTTGGATAAGGAAGGTGGATTCATAACTTTCCTTTCAATAACACGTGTTGATTACACAAAACCCACACAATATTTTCTTTAATTTTGTAAGAAAAATTATCAGAAGAAGGAAGAAAGTGATGATTCGAAACAAGTCAATCGACAGTCCGACACCACAATAACGCTCACCTTCAAATCCTTCTTACCAATTCTCTTGCTTCTCACGAGCTTTTAATAATGGCTTCTTCAAATCCATTGCTATTTCCAAGCCAGATCCAGCTTATGGGCAATTAAGGATAATTATGATAATGTAATACTTGAATTTGTAATCTCATCCACCAATCTTTAGAATTGAAAGATGTTGAAACAATCACTCTGTAACTGACTGTTTAACTTTCCCCTACTTCTGAGCGCTCTGTCTCAAGTACAAAAGTCTACTTGAGAAATGGTAAAAATTACCTCTCTGTATTATCTAATATTCTTGTACTACTTGAGAAATGATAAAAGTTACCTTTTTCTGTTATCTAAGATTCGAATGAACCGACCACCCAAATATATTAGCCTATCAAAACATGTTCTATGTAAAAAGTAGATCAAATTTTTTATAATATTATAAAAAAAAATGACAAAATATCACTAATATAGACATAAAATTAATATTAATCATTTTTAACTCATCTAAAAATAGAAAATTTATCCTCTTTTATTAAAAATAAATAGAAAAGTTTGTCGGAGGGGAAGGAGAGATAATAGCTCATTCACCTCTAAAATATTATTAAAATAATGTAATCCAATCGGGAAATTAACTTCCACGCCATCCTAGTTAATTAATAGTCAAACAGGATGAATGACCATTTAAAACATTTTCTCAAATCTAAGAGACTAAAAATGTTCTTTGTTTCAAAAGGACCAAATGTCATTTAATTCATAAATATTGATATTTTATCAATATTTATGAAAGATTTTTTTAGGAAAATAAAAGAATTAATATATTTTTTCTAAAAGGAGAAGAATAATTTTTTTTGTTATTATAAAAAGAAAGAATAAATACTTTAATTGGTGGTACTTATGAAATGGTATCTTTGTTATGCTGTATTTTATATTATCCAATTCCAAATCACAAATTATGAAGGCATCCTGTAATTTATTAGACTAAGCTAAGAATATGTAAATAACAATTCTTATTAGCCATCTCTTTTCTTTTCTTTTTTTTTTTATAAATGAAAATACATTTTGTAACATGCATGGAGTTTTTTTCCGCAACGTGAAAATAACTTTTGCTAAACAAAAAAAGAAATGCTAATTTTAAATAATCTTAATTAGAAATCATATATGGAATTTGAAATTCGACCTCAAATATTAATATGTGTTTAACAAGTTGAACTAGATTTAAGTTGACAAAAAAATTGACTTGTTATATATTTTAATTCTCATATAAAAAAAAGTTGCTATATTTTACGTACTATTACGAGAATAAGATCAAAATTAGTTTGAATATAATCTTCTAGGAATTCGAATTCATATATTAGAAAATGTAATGTAATCCTTTCAAAAAAATTAACCAACTAGCCAAGGCATATTTGAGAGTGATTCTTTTTCTAAAATCTTTAGTATGTTATAGTAAAATATTATTGTTTTAAATGAAAGTGATTTTTACAATTACAAAAAATGATCTTGATTATGCCAAAATCACTTCCAAAATACAAACATGCAATAATGCTTTACACGAGATAACAATGATTWTAAAAAATAACAAAATGATTATAAATATGCCCTTAGTTTAGTTAGACATATTCATTAAATTTGAGGTAGGTTTAATATTGAATTTAGACGAGGATCGAAACAATGTTACTCATCAATGGACAAGGATCAAACTAAGAAGAGAAACATGCAGCAAAAAGGTTTGTCGAAGGGGGTGGTGAATGAAAGAGGGGAAGAGATTGAAAGTTTAATCACCATAAAAAAGAGTTATTAAATTAATATTTTTTAATCAAATTAGCAATTAAGTTTAATCAACTACTTAATTGTTGCATGATCCTAACATTAATCAACAGTCAAAATATGTCACCAGTCCTCTAGAATTACTTTCCAAACTTCTATCCTTTTTGAAGCTTCAAAGAACTAAAACTATATTTTGTCCTTATTATTAGTATGATATGTTAACCAAACTTAAAACTAGCTCAATATTTAAAACTAAAACACCCCAAACTTCTCTCAATTTCTACTCTGCGAATAAAAGAAATTTAGAGATCATGGCCGGTTACAGTTAACCCTACGGTGATTGGGACTTTCCAATTGGGATTAGTACATTGATAGACTATTTAGAGATCATAATTATAAAAAGATTGAATGTATAAAATTTACACTTTTGTTATGAAACAACTCAATTTAAGATGGTACCCATATACTATGTATGCTTCAATATTAATTAATTTTTAAAATCTAAAATTAGTAAATTGGGAGGTTACCATTTAAATCCCTTAAATTTTGCCTTGAGACTTTCCAAAACTAAAAAATATCAAATCCCAAAATACTAATCAAATTCCCACAATCTTCCATAATTGAAAAAATTTGAAAACCCATCTTTCTCCGATTTTTCTTCTTCCTCTCTTGTTCGAAGACTGCTTCGTTTCGGCCGTCTACGCTCCTCCGTTCCGGCCGTCTACGCTCCTTCGTCTTCGGCCCTCTGTGTTCCTTCATCTCCGGCCCTCTGCGCTCCTTCATCTCTAGCCGTCTGTGCTCCTTCATCTCTAGCCGTCTACGCTCCTTCTCTCCGACTTTTCTTCTTCGTCTCCGACCGTCTGCGTTCCTCCATCTCCGGCTTCGTCAACGTTCTTCGTCTCCGGTCGTCGTCTCCATTATTCTTCATCGTCGGAGTAGTCCTATATTCTTCCTCTCTCGTTCGATTTCCGTCTGTTCCTTCGTCTCCATCCGCCGTCTGCACTCCTTCGTCTCCATTCGCCGTCTGCGCTCCTTCGTCTTCGTTTGTCGTCTCCTTCATCTCGCCGATTGGAAAGTAGTTTTGTCTCACCATGATATATTTTTCATTCCAATATATCCTCCAAGTTTTTTTTATTTTAGATTTGAACAATGTTGAAAACTCATTATTTTTTTTTGTACTGTTAAACCCCTTCCATACACATATATATTCAATGGTTTTTTTTTCAATTTATGAATTTGTGTAGTTTAATGCTCTATTTTTGTACGCACCTAGATTTCAGTAGTGCAAAATGTAGATATGAACTAATGTATATCTAGGGATACATCTTATAGTGAGTTTGATTTCATCGCTTTGTCATCAGTATATATGGGGATATATGGGGATATATCTTATAGTGTATACATTTARTTCCATAATATTTATAGAAATACAAATCATTGACATTGATATCTAATTATTCTCTATAAAGTTTGAATAATACATAGTTTGTAAAGTATAAAACAATATTAAAAGGTATATAAATTATATTAACCGTATCCATAATAATATTTGAATTCAAAAGTCTTCACGGTATATACGTTATATCATAAAAATATACAAATGAATACTTAATTGTTAATATTCTATAATAATATGTGATATGTATATTAGATCTTACTTAAAATACGTATATACATAATATTAATTACATCGTGTGAATAATAGTAGATTTCAAAAGTACAARTAGAATATATGTTATAACCGTATATTATATGTATGAGAATATATGAGAATATATCGTATATGAGAATATATTGACTGAAGCAGCATATATTRTAAATATTAGAATATATTGTATATGTGGTATATATCTTATACATAATTCTAGCTATTTTATTTACCTATGAGACTATTATGGATTTGTGAAAGGAAACCCCTAAAGTTGATAATGTGGTTGGCTCCAATGTAATTTAATCAAACAATTTCAAACTGGAGTGGTCAATTGCGTGGGAACTTCACACGGAAAAAATCATATGAAAAAATATTGTTTGATCAAAATTGGATATTTTTTTAATTAATAATAATGGTAAATTATAGGAAAAAATCTTTTTTGGAAGAGTGAATTAAGGGATTAGTGTTGAAAATTTATATGGGGTCCACAATAATTAAAGGAATATGATTACAATTATGGAATTAAATATTTTAAATTTCAAAATAATAAAAAATTATAATAAAAATGTATATAATAAATAAGGGTAAAATTGACATTTAAAAAAATTCATACGTGGACAAATCTAAAACTGTAAAATTGGAAAACTTAGACATTTATGTATAGACTCTTTCCAATTTGGAGCAAAGTCGGTATGAAATGGGCTTCATTGGCTGGGCCTTCGTTATTGCATGACCAAGCAGTTCATGGACATGGGAATTTGGATATTTGATGTGATGACTGATGAACACCAATTTGGATTACTGTATTGGAACTTTATTTTATTGAGATACAACATTCTCTTTTTCAAAATAGAAGAAATAAAAAAAGCTAAAAGGAAAAAAATGTCAAACATAAAAGGTTCAATTAGTCCAAGTATATATTCTCAAAGTCTATTGTTGTTCTGGAAAAGAAAGTGAGTAAGAATCGTTCCATATCTATCTCATTGTATTTAATTAACTGAAGTTTAACTTAAAATATTAATTTCATCAAACTGAAGGTTAAACTTGAACAAGTACGAAAATTACCATTAAAATTTGTTTCTGTTACAGCTTAGGCTGGCTAGACTACTCTTCTGGGGTTTCTTTCTTTTTCCTTTTATGGTTGTCATGGCTTGATTTAGGTATTTTAGAGTTGGATTTGTGTGTTTTTTAGAGGCTCAGTCATCGTTGGGTTTTTTAATTTTATGGCCAGGGTTGGGCATTTTTCTAGCCAGACCTTGGATGTTTTGTTTGTTAAGTTTTGGTATTTATTAGTCGGTGTTTTTGTTAAATTTTAATTTAGCTCGGGAGATGGAAGTTAATTTCAGACTAAGTTAAAACAGATCCACTCATACTTAACAATTGATATTACTCGAAATGTTAAAATAATCTATCGAACGAATTACTTCTAAAATGACATCATAATTTTCCATTGAACGATAATTTTGAAGAACTTTTTCAAGTTTCAAATCCCTGTATTTTCTAAATTTCTTCCACACGTTTCCTCCAATTTTTCCAAATGTATATATGAAATTTAAGTCGGAATTCAAAGCATGCAACACTTGTTAACCAGATGATAATCTCAAGAAAAACGAGACTTTAGTGCACCACACCAGAGCAGAAGTACGTAGGATACAAATATATATCCAAGGAAATTCCTAACTTTTGTCCTAAAATTGCTAGAGTTATGCAAGTGTCAAGCATTTCATCCTCCATATGCTATTGCAAGCTCTCGTCCTTAACCATGCAAGTTTTATAAAACAAAATATATGGAGATCTGTTACCCCTCCTCCAAGGACACTGAAGTCCTGCAACCTTGGCAAGACGATAAAGAAAACAAATATCAGCTGGTCGTCGTAATTATAATAATTCAACATCTTAAAGAACCACTGGAAGATGATATGGCACAAGGTGGTGCTAAAGGATGCATGATTTGGTGTATGAGAGAGACAGAAATTAAATGAAACCTGTGGATATAGGAGAACACTACCTAAGAGCTAGAGCTAGCTTCCTGATCTACATCATCATGGACCTCAGAGGTTGATTTCTGTGACTCTGTTGGCATTGCAGCTTCAGCGTCCGCACAGCAATTCTGAAAACCGGGAGATCTTAGAGAGCAGAGATAGGGACAACAGATAATAAATAGAACTGTAGAGATGTTCAGACAGATCCAGCATGAAAGGATAGATAGATAGGAGTAGGAAAACTTTACGAGGGTTTTCTTGTATGCCTCGAGAGCTATCACATACTCTGTCTTCCTACTAAGAGCTTTTTCAGCGTAAGGAGCTTTTTCCTAAGGAAGAAAAAAGAGTACCACAGATTTACATCGATCATTCTGATCAATTGGTGAAATGAATACAGAAAGTAAAACGTGAAACAACGATCTTCAAACAAAGCAGAACAACAGAGCTACAATTAATCTTGTTTTCCAATCAGTTATTGCTAGGTTATTCATTATAATTGTTTGTTCTCGAATTACTTTTCTATGAAATAGTACGAAAACAAGAGATCACAATCTTACAGCATCAGATAATGATTTCCATTTCTCGCCGCCGGCTTTGCCAACCTGCAGATCAACAAAACACAGATAACCACAATTAACCATAATCTGGCAAACTCAAGAAGTCTTCTGCTCCTCCACTCAGTCATATCCAAATATAAGTGGAGGAACAAAGAGAAACGAATGCTGAATAAAACAACAGTATTAAATCTCACAGCTGGACCAGCTTTTGCATCAGGAAACTTCTCCTTGAACGTCTTTCTGAATTCCTCCCTATCATTTGCCAGAACAAGAAATCTAAACTCGAACGGATAGATAATAGATATAACTTAAGCTTAAGTGCAAAGGAAGGTTTCAAAATATAGCCGACACTAGAGAGCACTAAAATCATGAAATTATAAATTATATTTACATGAAAATGAAGAAAGCTGTGGCTGGACGTTTTGGTGCATTCTGATCTTTCTTCATGGATTTATTGCTTTTCGTAGATTTCATCTCGGCTTTTCTCTGCTTCAGCATCCTTCGGGAAGTGGATCAATGATAAAATCACATATAGCGAAAAGGAGATGGTAATTTGAATAGAAATTTTAGGAGCAGCAGATTCAAATGAGTGGACTAAATTGTACCGAAAATAGAAGAGTTCAAGTAAGAAACAGATGAAAATATCAATTAATTGATTAGTTTGGAGAAAACGATTGAGATGAGCAGAATGCCATCAGAGCGGTTGAGATATTCAAAGAAGCGAAGAAACTCTGTATAGGAAAACAGAACCTAAAAACCGATAAAGAAGACGACGTAGGCTGTGAAAATCAACTCAAGGAATGAAAGAAGAGGCGAAACAACAATAGAAAAACAATATAGAAAGCAAAACGGAAGGGCATTACCTAGAAAACAAAATAAGACAAATATACAGAGAGGAACAGCATTGCATCGCAGTTAAAGAAATTACAGAAGCAGAGAAAGTAGAAGCCAATCGTACAGGAGAAGATATAACAGAACGTAAAAACTTGCATCGAGAACCGAAACAAAGGTTATTGAAACTCAATGAAGAGAAAAGCAAAAACAAGAAAATCAAAATCAAAATCAGCGTGGAGAAGTTAATTTTACTCCGCATTAGGCTTCTTGCGAGCGATGACGGCGTTTCTCTGAGCTCTCATGGTGGTTCTCTAGAATTAGGCGATAGCGATACGCGAAGAGAAAGAGAGGGAAAGTGATCAAATGAACAAATAAGGGGAGAACGGCTCATATAATGTGTGAACTGTGACGTGAATTTAAATCCGAAACGATGAAGTTGAAAATTGAAATGCACCACCCGAAATTCCTTTAATTTGGCGGGAAACGACCACGAATCCGTGGACCACGATACGTTGGTTATTCAGGAGAGCGACGAGTATGAAACAAACTTGCGTCGCTTCGGATTGGGTATTGGTACACGTGTGCAAAAAATTTCATTTGATCCAATAATAAGTTTTCATTAATTATGCCCAACAAGAAAAAGTACACTCATTCGATGATTGAGTAAACACATCTCTAAGTATAATTAATTTTTTAAAATCAACAATCAAGTAATATCTTAAAATTCAATCTAAAGTGATTTTTTTTTATTTTCCTAAAATCTATTAAATTAAAAAAAATTATTAGGTGACCATTCACCTGAGATTTGAATCGAGATTGAACCAATGTTAATTATTGTTGTGCTATATTCATGCTGGCATAATGCTTACAAATTTAACAATAAGATTATAAGTTTGTAAATATGAACAAATTAAAAAAAAATCACGTGCCTATTTAAACATGTATTTACCTTAACTATCATTTGAACTCTTATATAAAACTCACCTACATCTATCAATTTATCATCTCAATGGTAAACTTTATTAGACGTCCACCACTAAGAGATTCATTAACACTCCCATGTTATTTTAGTCTTTTTTTTATGTTTATTGTTATATGTTTAATTAATTAGACTTATTTGGTTAGCACCCTTAAAATTTGTACTCAGGGGGATCTACAGTAGGCCGAGGGGGCTTCCCCTCAACTTTAAAACATTAGGATTATTATAAACCAATGTCCCAACTAAACCTAAAATTCTAGGTTGGCATAGTGGAAAATGGGTCTAAGCTCCCCCTCACTTGCCAGTGTTTGAGCCTCGGGGCTTGCATTATTTCTGTTAATAATTATGTAAAATTCTTTACATATTTTAATGGTTGCTGTTTATTTTTATCAAATTTTCTGAGTATCGACAATTTTGAGATTAATCATCTAATTTTAGGTACTATGAATTTGAGGTTATTTTTAATATAATAGTTAGTAAAAAAAAAAACAATCGAACTAAAATTTTTTATCCAAACGGTGGATTACAATTGTAATATTCGATATCAAGTTTGTAAAAAATATTTACAAAAAATGACCTTGTCAGCCTCATCAAAATCATACTTTTATGAATTTTAAAAATTACTTGTAAATTAATTTAAGCCTCTCCTCAACAAAATTTCTGGATCCGCTACTGTTTGTGTTATGATATGAAAATTTATAGGAAAATATTTGGTTCATTATCCGCGATGAGCAACGTTATCCTCGCTACCCACAGCTAAGAGATAAATACAAAAATATAGATTTTTTTTTACAAATGAGTTGTCAATTTTTCAATGGTAAGATTTAATCCTAATAGGTAATTTATATTTTACTCCCTAACTTATGATGCTAGTGAATTGAGGTGCTTCAGTTTGTTTGAAATTGAGATGGTCTCAAGCGATTGGTCCAATCCAAATTGAGGACGTGGCTGTGTCGTAAGCAAATTAAGCACAATTAGCTGGATCCAGATTCCACACTCTTGTCAATGATCAAACCAAATATAGATTTTATTAACTATAAATAATATTATTAATAGCACAATATCTTAGAACGATATACAATTATTAATCAGTTATTAACTTATTATATATCTAATATATATAAAGAACGAATAAAATTGAATTATACACATAATAGAGATTGAACAAGAGATTGCTGAGTCAACCACACGGAAGCACAGCCACGCTCAACAAATTCAGAATGTCGGAGCAAACCAACAAACTCTTCAAAGCTCATCGCCGACAATTTCTCATAAAGTTGCCATCGAATATGAATGCCAATTTCTATATTTTTTCAATAGTACAAAAAATCAACATTGGTAACTTCTTGCACCGATGTTAATTATCTCTTGATCAATCTTTTTTTTTTGTTTCAATATTATAAAAGTACAAATAGAGGTAGTACATTATAATCTTTGAATAAAGAAAATTTAAATTAGTAGATGATCATGCATAGAACTTTATGTAAAGAACAGATGTAGCAGAAAATGTGATAGGTAAGGTTAAAGAAAAAATATTAAATATGTTTTTTTTTGTTGATATTGTATTAATAAAATGGTATACATGTTTAATTAATTTGAAGACGCCAATTCGACAATTGTAATTTTATATTTTCAAATTTTAATTCGAAGATTATAATATTTATGTTGGGTCTCAAATAATATTTCATATCTATTTAAAATTGTTTGAATAAAATAGCTTATGATCAAAATAATTAAACACCAATTTTTTTTTTTAAATTACAAGATCAAAATTTAGTAAATTCAAAAGGCTTAACAGAAACAACAATTGAACAGTCTTCTGGCATACATAAATTTAAAATTGGTAAACAATGCGCAAGTTCATAATATATTTAATTAATCCATTCTACGTAGCCGACTATATTTCCTTCCCTGTGTTTTTTTTTTTTTAATCATAAAAAATAATCTTAATCAGATATAACGATATGTCAATTAAAAATGTAACTAAGCGAAGCGACGGCCGGTTAGAAAGCAAAATGGAGGCGTTTACATTCACGTGACAGCTCGATTATTACGACAGGGAGATGGAATTAATTAACAAAATACCATCGTTTTGACTAAGTGAGGAAGGGGTGTTTATGTAAATTGATCAAGGGGGGCCCGCCGGGGAAAGGAAAGGAAGCATGTGAGGTGAGGGAGGATTGAACGCGTTTAAAATAAATAAAAGTGCTACGAAGCGCTGCTGACACAAAAACTTGAAGCAATTCTCGTAACAGTCAAATGGACCCCGCTGCCCCACCAGCCTTTGCTTCTTATACGTGATGTCCAGCCCAGCGCACAAAAAGTATTTCACTTCCTTTTCCTTTTTCTTTTTCTTTTTCACATTAAATATAACAACCACATAACTTAACTCATGATCTTAATAGAGTTATAATTAGTTAAATGTGGAATTAAAAACTTTTGCACCTTTCACGATTGTTGATGCTGAATTTTGTTCAGCTTCCAAGTTACGTAGAAACCTATATAGAACTTTCAAACTCGAGTATGTTAGCGTAAGATAGAATTGCATACTTGAATCATCATTTAATATGATAAAGGAGCGGGGAGACAAGTCTGTTATAGTTGTTCCAACAGGAAGTTGCTCGATCAAGTACACTTAACAAGAATCAGTTGGTTTTCTAGACTTCTTCAGATCAATCATTATAATTGGTAGGTAGGTTTGTCCTGATCTTTCAGACATGTAAATACTATCAATCTGAGACGATTATTGGAAAAACTGACCGTTGTGTCTAATTAAGTTTTTAAACTTTAAAAATATGACTAATAGATTTAAATAAATCATTGAATTTTCAATCTTCAGATTTTCAACTTTATTTCTAATAAACTCTTACTTTTCAACCTCTTAAGATAAGTTAACTTCGATCATTTGTGATAAAGTTAATCATAATAGTCACAAAGACAAAGGGCAGTGCTGGAAGTTTGGAGAATAATCGGTGCGTTATTCCATTGAAGGCTTGATATTCACACCATTCTTTCCGGTTGTTGCGAGTCTGACATAATATATATCTATACATTTTTCAAAATCATTAGCCTCCTAATTTTTAAATAAAGCAAACATGTCGCTGAGGTGTATTTATGTGTCTTTTATTGGGCCGCCATAGTGGGATATTTTTTCTCTTCTCAAGGGAAAAAAATGTTCTCCGAAGTTTTTGAGCTGGAATATATTTTCAAAAAGCAAAAATGAACAAACAGAATACAAGTTTGAAAGAAAAAAAAAAAAAGATAATTCTTAACGACTATATTCTAAATTGACCGACTAATTCATCTTATTTTAATCAATAACATAAAAATAAGATTCTAGTAAAGTCATCTAAGATAATATGTATAAATTAAGGTATAGATTACGCTCTAGCACATGGGTGACTTGTTTTTAAATGTTGTTACAAATACTTTACATCAAAAAAGCGCCCAAACAGTTACAATAAATTCTCAAATTCCATAAAGGAGAGAATCAGGAAGGGCAGTGCGTTTGTGGTTTCTTAATTATATCAGTTAACGCGGCGTAAGAAACGCACTTTCATGTGCCATACGCTACATCTCTCTCCCTATAAAATTTCCCTCCATTTTCGCCAGAATCTCTTTCTATTTCGCACAATCGAAGGCACGAATTCAGTGAATTCCGATCCATTGCATTTTGATCTCACCATGGGGAACTGCTTGAGGAACAACAGAGTGATGGCGCAGGATGAGGCTTGTTCGCCTTCGCCTAATTCGTCTTTGACAGAAACTAATTACAAAGTGGAAGATAAACCAGCCGCCGGATCGGCGCTGGCGCGGCCGAAGACGGAGGAGGCGAGAATCGCCGCGCGACGTAAGAAGGTTGTGAGGTTTCAGCAACGAGAAGATGAAATTTCCGGCGGCGGAGGCGGAGTATTGAGGATTAAAGTGGTGGTGTCGCAGAAAGAGTTGAAGCAGATATTGAAGGATAGAGAAAGCAATTCCTCCACATTGGAGGAATTGTTAGCTGAATTGAAGATGAAAGGCAGGACAATTTCAGATGCTAGAGCCGATAATGAGGAGGATGAAAATGGAAGCTGGAGACCGGCCTTGGAAAGCATTCCTGAAGATCTCCATTAGTAGTGGTCAAATCTTTTCAAAATCTCTCTCTCTAACAATCTGAAATATTATTGAGGTGTGTTATTTAATCACCAAAATTATTGTGTGTGTGATACGAAGATTGAGTGGTACTACTTTTGAAGTTTAATGCTTTCGATTCTGTTCGAATTACATGAAAAACAATATATGGTGTATATTAAGTCATTTTTGTAACCGTAACAACAATTTGAGATGGATTATCATATATATATATATAGATGTATGGTTTTTATTTTATGTATCTCGAAATTATAATGTTTGAGTACTCCAATTGTCAWTATAAAGACTTTAATTAGTATATCTCTTCTCTTCCCCCTAAGTTAGCATAGATGCAACGTAATCGATAAATTATGATATAGTTTAATGAAATGAGGGGATACGAGTTTTGAGATAACTCAAGCTATAATTAGTTGACTAGAAAGTAAGATATGATGTGAAAGAAAGAGTACGAGTGACTTCATTTGCAAGAAATTTTACAAACGATCTTGTTTTCTATCAATTCAATATTATTCAAATTTGGTTATAATTCAATTATTAATCTACTCCTTAGGCTAATTTAAGCTTGGTGCAAAATTATCATTATTTTAGACTTATTTAATCGAGCCCAATTGTCATTAGAAAATACAATTGGAAAATACATTCCACGTTCCTGTTTTCCATTTCCCGCCAAGCATCATGTTTCTTAATATTTATATATACATATACACACACTAAAATAATTATATTATCAACTATATATATACTAAAAATAGTTAAACATTATTCTTTCCCCAACCTACCTAATATATATATCGGAGAGGATTAGACTTTAGAAATTAAGCAATTAAACAAAAAAATCTTTTAAGAAAAAAAATAATTATTGAAAATAATTTAAATAATAAAAAATAAATAGGGAAAAAAATCTCCGTGAGATCTCGATCCTCACGAATTTTCCACAAGGAATTCCTGATCCCACAAAATTTCACGAGATGGAGATCAATTAAATGGAAGGCAGGGATAGGGATGGGGAAGCCTTTTCCGTCCCAGCCCTGTCCCATGAAACATCCCTAATTATCATATGATTTAATTTGACCAAGTTAATATCAAACATCCCTAATACTCATAATTAGATTTAAGAGATTAATACATAGTAGAAGGATCAAAAAGTATAGAATTTACATTTTTGTCATAAAACAAATGTTTATGTGATTTGGAATTGTCCTTGAAGATTGAGCACAAGTAGGAGTGAATTGAGGGAAAATAAATATATTGAGAAGAGTAAATTAAGGTTTCGAAGGAATGAATTAAGAGATGTGTGCTGAAAATTAATATAAGGCGATTATCATAATAATTTATGCATTTAAAAAAAACAAAAAACTTGGAAGAGAAAAATTTAAAGATATGAAAAAAGAGTTAAAAGAGATTAACATAAAAAAATAATTTTAATAAAAGATTTGAAAATTTTTATAAAATGAAAGAAATTTTGATAAAAGAAAGGGTTTAAAACAGGGAGGAAAAACTTTTATAGAGAATTTTGAAGAAAAAAATTTAAAGAGTTTTACAAAAAATTTTAGTGAGAAAAATAATCTTGAAAACATGAAAAATGATAGTAATGGGAAATTTGAAGATAAAAAAAAGTTCAATAAAAGAGATTAAAAAGAAAATAAATGAAAACGAGATTGAAAAAAAAAACTTTTAGAGAGAGAAAAATATTATAAAATGAAAGAAATTTTGATGTTATAAATATTAAGATTAAAAAAATAAATTTTGATAAAAGAAAAAGTTTGCAACAGGGAGGAAAAATTTTTTATATAGAGAATTTTGAAGAAAAGTTTAAAGATTTTACAAAATTTGGACTTAGAAAAATAATTTTGAAAATAAGAAAAAAAATGTTCAATTAAGATATTAGAATATTTTTAAAAGAAAATAAATTAAAAACGTGATTGAAAAAAAAAAACTTTTAAAGAGGGAAAAAATATTATAAAATTGAAAGAAATTTTAAAAAATGTTTTAAGAGAGAAACTAATAAAAAAGATGGAGTAAAAACTTTTGTACCGAGATTTTGAGGAAAAAAAGGTTCAGTTTTTAAAAAAGTTTGAGAAAGAAAATAGTTAAAGAAGAAAAAAGAAAACCTTTCCGAGATATCAAATAATTATTGAATAAGAGAAATTTTGAAGATAAAAAAGGCTAAGAAAAGATTTAAAAAAATTGAAAGGAGATTGGGGAAAAATTATAAAATAAAAGAAATTTTAA